TTAAAAAAAAAAAAAAGCCCCTTAGGCCTAGAAAAATACAATACAGCTTTGTTCAATCTGTGGGAAGGATCTGCCCCAGCTGGGCCAGTTCAGCCCCTTCCACAAAAACACTGCTCAAATTTCCCTCTCAGCCCTTTCATCATTATCATATGATTATGTCTTGTCTCCCCAAACACACAGGAAGCCACTAGCCAATGTCCTTCCATCCCCCAGTATACCTAGCACAGTGCTTTTGGCATGAAAGTTGCTCAACATTTGTCCCAGATGAGAACTTATCAGATGACACATTTGCACTCTCAATAGGGATCAACAGTCTGATGCCTCCTCAGGTGAAACTGCTCCAGAATGTACTAGATTTATTTGCTCAGAAGCTCGGCTCTGTGCACATTCTGAAACACTCTTCTGTTTTGAGTTGGCTGACTTTAGAAAGGGGCCACATTTCTGCTTCTTGTTTCAGAAGTGTGTCTTTTGAAGACATGCTAGAACTAAAATTCTGTTACCAGCAGGATTACTGGAGCAACAGTAACAATAACTGCTGTTTATTGAGGACTTACTATGTGCTAAGAGCTAATCCTCATAATGTTTTTGAAAAAACGAGGCTCAGAGATGTCCCATGCCTTACTCAAGGGCTGTTAATCAATGGCTAACAGGATTCCAATCCAGGTCCATCTGATTTCAAAGCCCACAAACCTGAAAGGCCAAAAGGGATGCTGCTGGCTCCTTGAATGACCCGAGAGAGATGTGGGGCAGAATGGTGGGGGTGGAGTGGGGTGTGTGGTGTGTGTGTGTGTGTGTGTGTGTGTTCCCTGGTATCAAAGGTGGGACCAGAGCATAAGTAACTGCAAAGCAGTCCTTGGGGGACTTGATAAGTATTCATTCACAGATAAGGGCCTACAAAATACACGTAGTAGGGATCATCATCCCCACTTTACAGAGAAGAACATCGAGGCTAACAGAGGTTCAGTGCCTCATCCAAGGTCACTTGTCAAGTGAGGAGCAGCAGGCAGCTTCTATGTCCTCTGCCCCTGTTGTGGCCTCTGGGTATCTGCCACACAAATGGCTTCTACTACCAACTGATTCTGCAACCCTGGGAAAGTGAGGTCCTTTCTCGTCTTGATTTCTTCATCTGGAAAATAAGGGGCTCATAGAAGATGATCTCCTCAAGGCTCTTTTAGCCTTGATATTATGAAGGGCTCATGCAGAAACTGCGTGAAACATAGGCTTGAGCAGGGGGCAACATCTGTTGTATGTTCACCAGGGGCTAGCAGCCTCACACACATGGCCTTTTTAATCCTCAACAACCCTGAGATAGGTACTATTTTATCACTCCCGTTTTATAGATGAGGAATCTGAGACTTCAACAGGCCAAAAAACTCGCCCAATGTCACCCCACCAAGAACAGTTGAGCTAGATGTGCTGGTGCCAGGCAAACTTCAGGCTCTTTCCATGATATCAGCTTTCTCCCCCCAATACTGGGTAGTTGGGTGGGGGCACAGGCCAGCTTCTTTCCCAGCTGCCCCAAAGCCCCACTGCACAGCACTCTAACATCTCATCACACAGTCTAACAGGAACTCTGCAGCTTCAGGCTTGCGCTGTTAGGCAGGGGAGACCCCCTGCTTCCTTTCCACAGGCGGAGGGGCAGGTGTGCACTTCTTATCAAATGTTCTTTTTCTTCCTTAGTTTTATTGGCAAATGTTCTTGAGCATACACTGTCCTAAGCCCTGTGCCAAGGGTTGGGGAAACAGAAAAATAAGGTGATGGTCTACGGGGGGAGACAGGTAAGTGTGTACAGAGTGATAAGTGCAGAGATGGGGGAAGTACAGGTCGCTGGAGACTGAGAAGGGAGGGCCGCCCTGGACCAATCAGGGAAGCCAAGCCCTGCCTGTGCCCAGAGTGGAGCCCAAACAAAAGCCTAGGCTAAACGCGTGGCCCAGCCAGCCTCCCTCTCACAGGAGGCCACTAGTTGTGGTGCAAAGAGCACTGGGTCAGAAGACCAGGGTCCAGACCCAGTGCTGCCACTGGAGAGCAGGGAGAGTGACCTTGGGCAATTCCCATCCATTCTCAGGCCTCCTTTGCCCCACCTATATATATTGTTCGGGGTTGAGTAGCAAGGGTCTGCGCAGCCAGGGCCTTTGGAGATCCTCCATTGCTCTTCCTATGTTCCCTCCCCCCTCCTCCCCACCGAGAACTTCCTGAGGGGGCAGGTGCCTCTCCTAGAAGCTCAGTGGTGCTATCTCACATTCACCGCAAAGGCCAGAAGGGGCCACTCCTGCCCTCTGCTCACTCCCACTCTTCAGGGCCCAGGACCTTCCCTCCCCATTCACCCACCTTTCACTCTCTGCCTAGAGCCAGGTATCCACTAAAACAAAGACCCTGAGCATACCTTTCCCATCTCCCCCATTCTTGCCCAGAGCTCTACTGGCCAGGTCTAGGTCTTCTTGCCCGTGCCTCAACCCCATAGATTCCAAGCCGGAGTCACTGTGCAACCCCCTGCACGCCCTACGCACACCGCCCCAACCCCGCCCGGCTCTCACCGCGCCGCAGCCGCAGCCACAGCCGCAACGTCCCCGGTGCGGGGCCCGGGGCCCCCCAGCAGCCGCCGCGCCGCCGCAGAGATGCTGCACAGTCGTGTAGCCATGTTGGAGCGGAGATGGTTGGCGGAAGGCCTCGCCCCCGAACTCCCCGGCGGAGGAGGGGCGTACATAAGCACCGCCCCCTCCGGCTTGCTTGCCTCCCTCTGCACGCCGCCAGGTGGGCGTTGTGGCGATGCATCACCCCCAACTTGGTAGACGGTGGGCGGAAGTTGGGATTCTTGTCCTCTGAGCAACTGCCGTTCTGCTGCTGCTTTACTCTGTGACCTTAAGCAAGCCCTTTGCCCACTTTGGGCCTCAGTGTCCACCTCGGAAAAATGGGATCCTTGAGCTATGATAACAGGGATTCTTAACTAGGCATTGAAGGATGAGGGACAGGTTGGACTCCCGCATGGGATGGTAGCTAAGCCCACGCATAACTAAGATTGTAACACAGCATCTTGAGCTTGGAGGCCACGGAGCTGCTGATGGGCAACCAGATGGCGACTGGCGCCCTCCACAACTAAGAGTGGAGAACAACAACTTGGCTGGTCCTTCTCCCCAATTCCCCAACACTGTTCCCCTCCCCCAATTCCCCAATTAAAAAAAAATGAAGGGCAGGGGGTCAGTAAGCCCCCTGAAATTGTGCCTTTTTCTGAGGAGGAGGGGTCCACAGTCTGTGCTTATCACATTATCAAAGAAACGACTCCCTCCCCCAACAATTTAAGACAGGAGGATAAAAGATGCTTTCTCTCCATCATCTCCTTTTCTCTTTCCATCCCCCTTTACCATCGCTGCCTGGGCCACCTAGGACCTTACACTGTCCTCCTGCCCTGCCTGGCTCTTTTGCCTGCCCTCCAAACTAATCCCTTCTCAGCTCATAATCCCCCACCCCAGATCACAGACCTCAGCAGGGTCCGAGACCCTGTAAGCATCACAGGGTGGACCAGGAGCCTATTCCTTCCCAAGGGACATGCATGGAGGCACACCCTTCCAAAAGAATGTTTATTTGCTAACCCGTACTCCCTCCTGGTATGCTTGGGGTGGGAGAGTGGAGCGTAGGCTTTAATTTTGTGATTCCTTCAGCAAATATCGAGTCTGCCTATCTAGCACCTGTGCTAGGCTGTAAGGGACCAAAGGTGGGCAGGACAACGCCCAGCCCTTTTGGGATGTAAGTCCTGACAGAGACCAAAATCAAATCAGCACTAACTTTGAGCCCCTCCAGGGCAGACACCTTAGACCCCTCTCCCCTCACCTCTCCTGCCTGACACAAAATATTTGCTGAGTAAGTGAAAAATATACACAAAGATATTTTTGTCAATTGCAATAGAGGCTATGAAGACGTATGGGGAGCTATGAGTACTTATAACAGGGAGGAAGAGAAAACGGGAGGTCGTATATAGACTTTGAGGGTCAGTAATGACTTCTATAAGAAAGTGAGGCTCAAACTATGATTTGTTCCTGTGTTTTCTAAAGTTGACACAATGAACATGTATTATATGTGTGATTTATTTATAAAGGAAACTGTATGTCTTCATGATAAATGGAAAACTTGCTTGAATCAATTGTATAAACAGGTAGAATCATCAAAATAAATGCAATGAAAACAACACTTTGGCTTTTGCCTTGAAGCTCAGGCAGAAGGCTGTGAGCCTGAGGCCTGTTCTCTGTGTTAACAAAGGAAAGCACAGAGAGGGGTTAGAGACACAGCTGGGCCCAGCGTCTCCTTGGGGTTATCAGAGGAACCGAAAGGGAGTGAGCTCCTCATTCTGGAAGTCAGTGTGATTGGAAGGTCCCAGGCACAGCCACTCAGGAAAAACCCAGACAGGTATATGGAGGTGCACCAATGTCATGTGGTGAAGCTGCCCTTCTGTTAGGCTCTGAGTGTGTCAGGTGTGGAGAGGTGGAAGTGACCACATCCACTGGGCCTCACCAGAGACCTGACCTTGGACCTAAGCTTTAAAGGATAAGTAGGGAGATTTTGCCAGGAGAAGGGAGCAGGGCAAGGAGAACCTTAGGCAGAGGAAGCAATGTGTGCACAGCATGTAAACAGGCTGCTGGGAAGAAATGAGTTCAAATTGTTCAGCAAAATCAAATATAATTAAAGGGCAGAATCATGTGGAGGCATAATGGGTACAAGGAATACATTTCTAACAATGGCGTGGGCAGCCTTGATGACCTGTCCCTGGGTATGCCAAGAGAGGCTCCATAGCAACTCATTGGCCATGTGATAGAGGGTATTTGGCAATGGAGCCACAGGAAGCTAGGACCCATGGAAGAGGGGCCAGCCCTCCAGGTCTAAGTTGAGAGTCATCCCCCAATTCTTGGTGTTCCTGGCTGCCTCTGCCAGGGAGAATGTGGGAAGTCTGAACTACGGCTTCCTTGTGCTGGTCTAGGCATTTCCAAAAAGGGTTCTCCCATCTCCTCCTACTTAAGTTGGGCAGGAGGATTAAATAGGTGGTTCCAGAAGCACACTCCCAGCCCTGACCCGGAGAGATGGGTGATAGGTCCCCTCCCCGTGCCGTATGACCATAGTGTGACAGCTCCCTGGAAGTGCAGTTTTTTTGTTTTGTTTTGTTTTTAAGATTTTATTGGGAAATTGGGGGAGGGGAACAGTGTTGGGGAATTGGGGAAGGGAAACAGCCAAGTTGTTGTCCTTCAATCTTAGTTGTGGAGGGCGCAGCTAGCTCAGCTCCAAGTCCAGTCACGCCGCTCAGCTGTGTTCAATTAGTTGCGAGTGGGCGTAGCCACCATCCCATGCAGGAGTTGAACCAGCAGCCTCATTGTTAAGAGCGCATGCCCTATTCACTGAGCCACCCAGGTGGCAGCTCAGCTCAAGTTGCCGAGTTCAGTCTTTAGTTGCAGCAGGTGTAGCCCACCATCTTGAACAGGCAACCTTATTAGGAGCACGTGCTCTTACCAGCTCAGCCATCCTGCCACCCATTGGCAGCTCAGCTTGGGTGCAGCTCACTGGCCCATGTGGGAATCGAACCAGCGATCCTGTTGCTCAGAGCTCACACTCTTGAGCAAGCTCTTAACCAATTGAGCCACTCGGCCGGCCCTGGAAGTGCAGCTTTGAGAACCCCACCCCTACCCCAGCTAGGGTGACCAACTCATTCCAGTTTACCCCAGATTGTCTCAGTTTTAGCATTAAGTTCCCCATCCAAGGAAACACCTTTGTCCCGGGGAGATCAGGTGGCTTGGTCATCCTAATTGTGGCCCTATCCCTCTCCCAAGGACACACAGCCACTCTATCCCAGAATCTTTTCCTTGCTTAACTAACTCCATATAACCCTGCTTGAAAGAGTAGGGCAGGGAGCTCTCTTGGTGGCACTCAGTGACATGTAATGCCAGTTAACTGAACAGCTGGTATGAATGGGTTTCTGCCCCATGGACTGTGCATTCTGGGCAGCAAACCAGATAGATGTTAGACAATTTCACAAATAAGGAATTAGACTATTTCCAATTACTGTGGAACAAATTATCTCCAAATTTAGCAGCTTGAAACAATAAACATTTATTATTTCACACAGTTTTAAATGGGTCAGTACTTCAGGCTAGCTGTGCTGCTTCTGGCTTAGGGTCTCTCACAACGTCACAGTCAAGATGCTGGCATGGGCTATGAGGGCTTGACTGGAGCTGTGGGGTTTGCTTCCAAGGTGGAGTGCTCACACACCTGGCAAGAGAGTGCTGGTTGTTGGCCGGGGGCCTCAGTTCCTTGTCACATCGGTTTCTCCAGGCACTGCTTGGGTGTCTTCACCATGTAGCAGCTGGCTTCCCCCAGAATGAGTGATCCAAGAGAAAGTACGGTAGAAACTTCAAGAACTTTTATAATGTGGCCTTGGAAGTCATGCTCTGTCATTTCTGCATATCTCATTGGTTATACATTGTTAGCCCTGCTCAGTGTGGAAGGGGGCTTTACAAGGGTGTGAATACCAACATGCAAGAGTCATGGGGGTCACGCTGGAGGCCGGCTACCGTAATTAGGCTTTGCACTAGGCCCAACTTAATTATAGGGGTTGCACTCAGTGCTTCAAGCAATCTTTAATGAGCGGGCCTCCCCAGCCCCATCTTCTTCTGTCCTAGGATTTCTCCCTCCTTTTCCTCTCTGAGATCCCTTCCTGTCTACCACTGAATCTGTGACATCTCTTTCTCCTGAGCCTGTCCATCCCTCCCCTCTCTGCAGGGAGCTGACCCATCTCTTCTCCTCCCTCCCTTCCTTCCCAAAGCTGCCCTCATGGAATCTGCCTTCATAACTCATTGCCAACGCCTGTTGCCCAATTTGTGAAATGGAATGAGAGGAGCCAAGGACAAAGACAGATGGGCAGCACCAGGCGGAGAGGAGCAGGCAGGTTCATAAGTGTAAAATATGGACAAATCTGCCATCATCTATTCTCTGGGACAAATAGATCATCACCGAATGGGCTGCAGAAGAGCAAAGAAACAAATTACCCAGCTGTGGCAGTGTCACCCGTTCCTTATTGATGGGCTTTATTCTCGGGCCAAACTGCTCTCAGAATTTCATCCCCCAGCTCCTATGGGACCCCAACTAGGAGTGACAGGGACAAGAAAGCTTTTTGTCTCAACTGGGGCATGAGCCACACTGCCAAGTTGCAGTCTTTCTGTGGTATGCATCACATGCAGATATGAATTATGGAACTTGGATGCAGTGCCACATAAAAACATTTACAAAGTGCCATTCCATGGATAAATTGGAAATCATACAAATGGAAAACATTTTAACTCGTTAGGTATGGAACAATTTCAAAGCTGTGGGGATGAAAGAATTATGAACTGTGTTTACTCTACTCCCACAAGGCGGCGCCACTGTAGCAGGGAAACGAACGACCACAGTGCGTCATTATGGAGCAAATCACACTGTTGCTATGGACTCTAGCAATTGCTTCTTTTGGCTATTGAGCTGTTATTTTGCCATTCGCTATCATCATAAACCACTTTAAAAAGCTATAACAACCCCATCATTCACCCATTCACGAAGTAGAGATGCTAGTGCTGAAAACACGCCCCCTTTTGAGTGGATATTGGACTTAATAAAACATCACGAGGAAGACTGAACCCCTTCCGTGACAGGTGGTGTTGTTAATTTA